GCCCATTCGGGCAGTAACTCATCCGTTAGCAAACGGCGGCTACTGACAAACGGATGGTGGAATGGGCCGCACAAATCAAAGAGCTGTAAAGGGCCGCGGAACAATTTCAGTTAAGTCGGTAAAAGCGCGAGCCCCAGGCAGCTGATCGGTATCAACCCAGAGTCTGCAATCCTTAACACGGAAGAAAGGGATGTCACGAATGCACTGGAGTATTGATCATGAACACAGCTGCCCACATGACCTTGCCTTGTCTTCCTTATGTCCTTGATTCCAGGTTGCGGCTATTTTAGTCACCATAAATTAAAGTGCCTTCATTAAACGATTATACGCTACGCCTGCTGGTGCGAACAAACAAATGCTGTGACCCTGGTTAAGAAGTACAGTTCCGCCTGTCTTTTAAAGTGGTGGCCATTGAACATTAGGGACAAATTTATCAGCAAGTGCCATTATAGCACCAGTCAGGTTAAATGCTCATTTAAAAGCGCTACGAGAGCTGAGAAATAAGGAAGTGGTTGTACTAAAACCGGACAAAGGTTCAGGAGCAGTTGTCATAAACAAGAGTGATTACCTACAAAAAATGTTAAACGTTCTAAATGACGAAAGCAAGTTTCAACGCACCGACAGGACGGAATGTCTGACAGAGGTAGAGACCCGGATAACCCAACACCTTGAAACGGTTCTCCTACATCGAGTAATTGATAAAACCACCTACAAGCACCTGAAGCCGAGCGGTTCCTCGACACCACAGCTGTACAGGTTACCAAAAACTCACAAGCAGAGCGTGTCACTAAGACCCATTTTGTCGATGGTAAATTCCACGCAGCACAATTTGGCTCGCTGGTTAGTTCGGATGCTTGCGCCACTGAGGCAGCACTACAATTTGCACAGCGTTAAGGACTCTTTTGAAATAATCAAAGACTTAGACAACATCAGCCTAGCCGACAAGGTTATGTGCTCAGTGGACGTCTAGTCGTTATTTACTAATGTCTCTTTGCTAGAGACATTTGATTACATTTGCCACCTGATAGAAGAGGAGAATTCCCGTCTACCAATACCGGCAGACCTCCTGAGACAGTCCCTGTTACTTTGCACGCAGAATGTCGCTTTCCGATTCCAGCACACCTCATATCGCCAAATTGATGGAGTGGCTATGGGTAGTCCCTTGGGTCCGGTACTGGCTGATTTTTTCATGCTTATGCTTGAGAGGAAACTAAGTGGACAGGTTTATCAGCTGCCGTATTACAAACGATATGTAGATGATATCCTTGTATTCGGTCCCACGAAGATGCAAATCGAACAATTAGTAGACCAACTTAGTAATGTTCACGCCAACCTGAAGGTGACTTTTGAATTCGAATCGAATGGGCGTCTTCCGTATCTCGACATTCTAATGAGTCGCAGGGATAATGGGCTGATTAAGCGATCTGTATACCGGAAACCAACGTGGTCCGGCCAATACCTACACTTCACCAGCTTCTCACCGATGGCACACAAGCGCGCGCTGGTAAAAACATTATTCACTCGGGTCAGACGTATCTGCTCCAACGACTGCCTGCCTGAGGAGTTTGAGCTGATCACTATGGAGAATGGCTATCCAAAGCGATTAATAGACAAACACAGCCAAGTTAGACCACCCAAGAAGATGGTGTTGACAGCCCCTAAGAAAAAGTGTACATCGAGCTACGATTCAAGGGTGACACCGCAGCAAGAAGGATAACCAAACGTATTGTCTCGGCCATTCAGCGTACATACTGTGCTGCGGAGGCGGTAATTATCAACAGAACCCGAAAGTTGCCGTTACTTTTAGTAAAGGAAGATGAAACCCGTCGGCGCCAAATCACATTGTGTCTATTAATTCGTGTGTGACTGCGGTATCAGTTACATCGGCAGGACCGAATGGGCCTTAGATTCCAGAGTGAAGGAGCACTTACCAAACTGGGTTCAGCGCGAAGTTGCTCAAACCACCTCCGATGATACGTGCTCGCGTAAGCCGCCAGCGTCCTCCATAGGCAGACACATTTTGGCGACTCGTCACCAGGTCAATCCCTTATCAGCTTTCCGCATCTTGTTACGTCATACTAATGCACGCCTTTTACGATTTGCCGAGGCCGTCGCGATAAGCCGAATTAGACCAGCTTTGTATGTTCAAAAGCAATTAGTTGTCACCCTGCGGTTGCCGTGGATCTAATCCCAACAACAATGATCACAACCATAAATTTGATTGACTTGACTGTGCCATGTAAGATATATATAAGGATTTCCCTATTATCGCATTGGTACTGACGAGGTAATACGAAATGCTAGCATCTGCCAATATTCGTCTTCTCATTTCGTTGTTCAAGCTACTGAAGGGAACTAACTGTTTTAAATGCTCATTGTAAGCGTAGAAAAGCTGGAACAGTCCATTGAGATAAACATTACCGGGAAAACAGTGAGACAAATTCGGAATTGTTTACTGTACGCAACAACGTTTATGTGTTGTAATAACGACCAAACACACATTGCAGTTAGGTGCGACATGTTGTCAGCTGGGGTTTGTCAAAAACCAGCATAGCTGCAGCAAAAGAGAAGCAGAGTCAGTAGAAGTTGCAAGCGCTGGTACAAGCATAAAACTTTCACAGAGGGACAGAGGAACAACGAATTAAATCAAACCGGGCAATGCGAAACTACGCGGGGAGTAAAAACTGCACAACGCCTCGGCAAGGGAAGGAAACTGGGAAGAGCCCGGGAACAGCTTGACGTGAACACTTGTCAGTCGGACCCACTTCATGCGCAGAATTTGGGCACTTAGCAACAAGCAATCAGTAGGATGGAACGTGTGGATGGGCTTGGGAACAGTGTCAGGTGAGCCAGTATCAGTTGGGTTCGGCGCGGGATTTCATCCCAAACTACGATTAATTGTCAGCATAACTATGGAGGTGAAACGCTGGCAACCCATGTCTGTCAAATTCGTCCCACTGAATACTTTAAGAATTTGTTTCACCGCGCCGCCTGCATAACCAAGCTTTAAGGTGATCTTCTGGTGGCCCATGGATATGTAGGGAAGGAGACTAAGTATCTTGCATCCCAGAATCGAAGCTCGAAAACCCACACTGTGAATATCCAATCACCTGTTTAGGGTGTGCGCGTGATGGGACAGCTGGTCTGCCATTGGCGGCTGTCATATATTCGCGTCTAACAACAGCCGCTTTTGGCAGTTGTTTTCGTGGCACACGGAGTCAGGTGGTGGAATGCGAAACCCATCGTTAGTGCCTGAACTCAAAGTCTCGTGCAGCAAAACCATACCCTATTTGTAAGAGGCTACACATATCCAGATAAAAGACAGGTTAAGCGGGAGTTCGGGCATTTCCAGTCGGCAGCCGAATGTTGACTCAGCGCATTGCACAAACTGGGGGTGGGTCACTACGCTTGGGCTCATACATGTCGCAACAAACTTAACTATCAGCAGGGCGCTGTTGGTATCCACAGTCTTTTGTAAACTACGAAACGTGCAAAACACGTACGATGCGTGCACTCCAATTTCGGTTGTGTTCTTGTGCCCATGATGAGGATATATTGCGGATAAATAACGTCGAAGCGATGTGTTGATGATCGCGATCACCAGCTCGGAACTTCCTGGGTTGCATGTCGACGAAGAGTATGCGTAGTCGAATGGGTCACGAGCATTAGGAACGATAAGATCACGAGAGGAAGCAATGGGCCTACGCAAGCTGCTCGTTAGACCTTTCCTGTTATCTGTTCCTGCTTGAGTGATTTGTACCCTTATAGTTGGAAATCATAAAATTGGAACTGGGACCCGCTGAATATAAACAGACAGCAAAACAATGGAGGATACACGTCGAGTTTCCGCAACTCAGAGTTGCGCCAGTGTAAACATACGGGTGTACAGAGAGCGTAAACATAAACCGACGAAAGACCACCCAGACAAGCAACGGCAGATAGACTGGTAGACGCGACAGCTAAGTGCTGCGCCCATTGAAAAAGGCACTACAGCGGAATCGTCATAATGTAGGTAGCATTAACTCTAAACCCAGCCACCACACAAGTGCAGTGGAGAACCAAAAATATCAAGCAACAATGGAGCTTCAGTAGAGTTGCAGTCACCCTCCTAAAAGTTGCTAAGCTCTTTCGAGAATTCCAGTTCTGTATGCTGAGGCTACGTTCATCAAGGGAACGAGGGATGTTCGGCGATAACACTAAAAGCCTTGCGCCTAATGAGTTCAATTGTAAGTGCATTTCGAATGAGTACCGGACAAAATATACAGAACTCAGAGGTGGGTGCATGTTCTCTATAAGTTCAGTACGGCCCCACACAGACAGACCACACTCTGCCATCAGCTGTTCAAAGACTAGAAAAAACGGAGGCAACACCAACCGATCGCATTTGGTGAATTAGAGACACAGTATACTAGGACGTGCGGCAAGATAGCAAAAGTATGCGGATGTGAAGTAACAAGTTTGGCCTCTGATACGGCTTACCAGTGACGTTTCGTGCACAAGCAAGAGACTTCGCGCAGATGAGGCTTCAACGAGTAGAAAAGCACCAATGGGCCCAAATAGCGAGCACTAAGCTCTGAACAAAGGTGACACCAACGCTATGAGGAGAAATGCACAAAAACAATAAAGATAGACTGGGGGTAATTCACATATACCGAACTGAGAAGTGGAAGATAGTATACAGAGATCACGAATAATGCAGCACATTTACAAATCACAAAGATAAGGGGCAGACCTGGAGCACAATCACATGCAGTGTTTGGAGATGCGAGAAGAACAATACTTGTGGAACGGGTTCGCGGAGCACGAAAACGTAGTCACCACTAATAGGAAGGTTAACTGACCACAAACAATGGCACAAGTCACGTCTACGACCATAGTAAACACAAGTGTACCAGCTAGTTCTCGGAAAGACACCGAGGGAATGCAGTAGATTAGGCAGAGTGACGAGCGGATACACTGTTGTTAGCAAGTTTTCTCTGGCTTTGACAGATCCTGTCCATTTAATCGTCATTCGATTGCCAATTGCGACGAGATACTTGCCTCGTCAATGGCTCTGTACCTGGCAGCTCCGAAGTGTTTGCGGTGTTCTGTTCCTCCTGAGCAAACGAAACCAGTGGTCGGCGTTCCGGAGTAATCGTGCGTCTGCCAACAACAATCCTTCTGAATGCCAATTCATGAGCGACTTCATCGAATGAACGGTTACGGGTTTCCGGCATAAATAGGAAGAAGAACACCCAGCAGACCACCACAACCACCAGGAATGGTAAGAAGGAGTAGCCTTTGATGGCTTTCTGAAATTATACAATAAGAGAGAGGTGAAAAATCTGTATTGGTCGCCCTAGCGGCGCTGGTTATAATGATGGTAGCAGGGGATTGGGGAACAGTGTGCTTGTCGTAGATTCGGAACACTTGCTATGAAAATGGAAAACAATCGTGAAGCAGATTTTTAGGCTGCAGCAATATGGAAGTATGGCTAACAACCTGCAAACAAAGGCCGAGATGAGGTTATAGAAAAATAAGTCGAGATGAATCACGTATATCCCTCCGGCAGCTGCAATATCGCAGAGCATCAAATGTATGCAGCTAAGCTCGTAATTCCAGGTAACTTCGTGAAAATGATTAAACGGGTAGGTGGATCATAATTTAGCCGTAATAACACCTCACATATTGAATGTGAGATCATGAGTGGGACTATCATAAGTAGCTATGTTGATTTTCATGTGCTTGATAAGGTAGGCTTTAAAAGTCTCATTTCTATGTAGGTGGGTATGTGATGCATGGATAAACAAGATACATTTTTGTGTAAACTTAATGACATAAGTAGTAGCTCACCGGACCACAGTTCTCACTACCTCAGATGGTTGAGTGTCCTAGTAAGTTGCCACCTTCTTCATGAGAGCTTATAAGCGCCAACCTAAACTTTAATTTGAATGCCATGTATAATAAACCAAAGCGAAAGAAGAGAACTGCATAGCTGAGTTAGCGACGATAAAAGTTGGTTGAGATTAACTGCTAGTCATTCAGTTGGTCAAGCAGGTTTAGTCAACAATTTAACGTGTACGCTGATAACTTGCTAGGAACAAGATCAGTTGTATCACCAGTCCTATCAGAGAACTTCCATGAAACTACGCTCACCGTGAACCGCTGACCAAGCGCAGTCGTACTATGGAAAACGAAAAATAGTACTTTTAAAGAAAAGCTGGGGAACAAATCGATCCAAACGGAAGGCTGCGCCGTATTTTAATTGATATGTACAAGACGAATGCAGTTTGTAAAGGAAATAGTTGTATCCACTAGCGAACAAGCTCATCCAAATAATCGTTTTGAGGACCTAATGACCCGGATCGACAACGCGAGACCAGAGTCCACAACTGTCAGAAGGGCGTGCATATCGGCACCACCGAGTCGGCGAATCAAGATCACTAAACACACACAACAAGAAACTCGAGACACTAACGACAACTCTATAGGGCTCCTCTATGGAAGATGTGCTTACGACCGAGCGAAAGATACCGGTTCCATTGTCCCCCGCATCTATACACCATCTAATGCAAGTTGAGCTGATTCCTACCAGAAAGGCTAGAAACGAAGCGTCAGCAGATTTACTCATTCACCTGTTATCTACCAGAATGCAACATACTAGTCTTATTCCTTCGGGTTTACGCTGGATATGGAGTATGTGGATGAGCTTCAGGTGGTGCAGCGCAAGCCACTTATAGTCGTTCTACAGGCGCAGGCGTCCTGTAGCTGTCTTATGGGGCCGTAGTCACATGCAACTCCGCAATCGGATGCCGCCAATACTTATATATATATATATATGCCGAAAGACGGATTATATCTGTTGTTCTGAAACAATCAATTGAACCCACTCGCATTCAAAAGTGTCACTAAGTTATGTGACTTCCTACATTTGCGAAGGCAGCAGATTGTGCTTTGTGGCCTTAAAGGCACTTTCTAACGACACAAAACAAATTTGGGAAATAACAGGTTGAATTGAGTCACCATGATCATCATCATGATTCCGTTGGCTGCGTACATTTATCACACCGGTTGGCATAAAAGATGCATTTATCCGTAGTAGCTCAGGTTCTCTTACTGTACGTGGACCGCTTCTGAGTCAACCACAACAGGCGGTACCGATATGATCCTGCTAGTTTCTTCTGTTTAATAAATCAGCTGTAGCGCTGTAACTGCAGTTGGGGGAACTGCGTTGACTCAGCGTAGACGGGTAAAATGGCTCACTCACGTCACTTAACTGCTCTTTAGCAAATTGAGACAAAGCACTTTTTGTAAAATAAAGTGCCTTACAAGCTCCAAGCTCATGGTGGCTCCACTCTATTGGGCTGGATTCCTATCGACTGTTTGAGGTAGTTCATTTCGCCTGCTCAGGTGGTTTAAACATCTCTGCGGAATGAAGTACTGAAGATGCCGTATCAGAAGCTGTGTGCAGCTTCAAGGCTTTATCCAGTGATGGAAACGGCAGGACGCTACCGCACAAAGAAAGAACGAGCCACTGCGAATGTGGCCCAGGTGCACGATTGCGCAGAACGAGGTTACCTAAGTTCAATTCGACAGGATAATAATAATTTACGATTGGAAGGAAAATGGAGGAACAACCGGACAAAGTTTAGTAAGAATGTTGAAATTGTCATGCGCCGGAACAAACAGCTAGAGAAAAGGGAAGAGGTGCAAAGTCCCACTAAGTTCGCGAATACGCCGGTTGGATGGGGGTTTCAACAACCGTGGTGGCCGACTCCAGGTTTCCCATAATAGGGGATAGTATGTACGGACGTTGATTCATGAATCGCTGCAGCCATATATTAACCTGTGTCCGCGCCCAACTACATGCAGCATCGGCTAGCGAAGCGTATGGGCTGGCGATTGGAGGACATGAGAACCACGTGAGATGGCCCGTGTGGGCAACTAAAAATCAACTGGAGGCCCAGTGAGGTGCCCGAGTCTACTTCCGAATAACGTGGCGAAAAGTTCAAACATGCACTCGATTATTGTGCAAAACCTACTACGCAGTCACCAATAGTCAGGGGTAGGGAACCCGCTAATTTCTTAACGCGTGTTGGTTTTGGCTTGGATCCACACATTAACGTAACCAAATAATGCAGCCGGAATGAATATGTCACCCGGTGCAAACGAACCATTGAGCACGCAAAGTTGAGATGTGGACACGAAGGTCAAGCAGACCTTAACCTTTTGTATAGCAACCAGCTGTCTAACTTGGTTCGCGTCGTACGCTGACACTACTGCCGCTACTCAAACTCACAGGCAACTATGTAGCAGTGTCGTATAATGAATGCATACAGAGCGACCTGCTCAGTGCGTCTACTCTGGCCAATTATAGAACGGATGTCTGGAGTGATGGATATCGGGAGTTATTGGTGCTCGTGCAGTTCTGCCATCACTTCAACTGGTCTAACTCAACCCTATAGTGTTGTTGTTGACTTGGATTCGAACTTCGCTCGCTCCCTTAGCCTCAGTGCCCCGTGCACGGCCGAAACATGACGATGGCAGAGGAATAAATTTATCTTTTATAGTGACTGTGTTGGTGAGTTCCACAGCCAGTCTTTTATGAAATTCCCTAGTTTGCACGTTGCTCCGAAGCATTGACCGTATGCAACCACATCCGAAAACTGTCGCAAACAAAACTTCTTCTAACTAGAACTTGATTCACACAAACAGCGGTCGCGTAGGCCGTCGTTTCGCCATCGACCTAAGCTGACCTCGGTTACTTACGTTCGCAATGTTAGACCTCGGTAACCAAACGGAGCGAACACCAGTTCACCCACCGACAAGTACTGCGTGGCCAACTTGTGTGTGATTGTCACTAGCTGGCAAGCTTGGGTTGGTTTCTCTAACTAATGATCGATACGTCTCAGTAGTTTATCAAGCTCAGACGGCTTACCGTTCACGAAGAAAACGGTCACTTCAAATCAAGATCGAAGCAAATGAGCCTGAAAATTTGCATGATTTTTACTACTGGCTTAAAGTAAAACAGTACACTATGAATCCATTAAAGCAAGTGTTTAGCAGGAACTGGTCTATCAGAGTTGGTAGATCCAAACACGTTTACCTTTACTAAGTTTGCGGCTAAAATAAAAATTGTCCAACATTTTAAATCCACTCCAATTAAATCCACTCCGAATCCTAGGCATAATTGTATAAAACTTCTTGGTCGTGAGTAAACAAAAGTAAAACTTACAACAATGACTGGATAACCACCCAGGACAATTAAATTTGATAGCCAAAGTAAGCACTGACTCAACGAGTAGGCTGCTGCACGAGGCCCCTGCCGAAACACCTCGGACACAATCAACGCGGGAACTGGGCCCAAACCCAGAGCGAATGCGCAGACGAAGACGACGATGAGGATAGCTGATGCGATTCCCATCGAATGTTGTTGCGAATCAGAGGTTGCATCCGAGGCCACGTTCACTGTGACCGTCATCAGGAGAAGGGCGAAGGCGAGAACGACTGTAGGCCATAGAAGCAGTGTTCGGCGTCCAGCCCGTTCCAGTAGCATCAACGCTATTATCGTCACGATCACGTTCACTAGGCCGATTGCCAGCACACAATACTGAATGTATTGATCCGCGATACCTGTGGTTTTGAGCATGGTGGATGAGTAGCTGATGACCTGTTGAAAAAGAGTAAAAGTAGGTTGAATGGAACCTCACGTGCACCACCGCATCAGGTTACGGAACTAAACTAAGACAGCGTCCAAGAAGTAGATTATGTGCTACACTCCAGTGGGGTGACCACTCGCGATTAAGCACCCATTCAACTATGGTCCGATTTACATGATATGGTAGTAGAACTCTTGCGGTTCAGGTCAGGATGTGTGTATGGGGAAAAGGTTTCGAAGGAAGATCGAAACAGTCCGTAGCTTGATTTCTGTGTAGCTGTGGATAACGTGAGCTGTTGCCCAATACCCTCGTCGCATGGGAGACGAAATAAGTGATATATCAAATGTTCGGAACCAAGTGAATCCAACCTACTGGTACCCAGAATGTTACATGCGAAACACGTTAAACGAGTCTTAATAAAGTATGATGGACCCATTTGGAAAACAGCCGAGTAATGAGTTTGTACGGAAACTACGTTTTGCAGCCTAAACGGATGTTGACACACTTTCGTGAGGATGGTAGAGTATGGAGAGCTTCAGGGACACAGCAGGCATATAAAGTGCCCATCGTCCTGTTGTCTGGTTTCAGAGTGATAGTCCATTTATTTCAACCGAACGAAATATTCTGCTTTAGATCTGCTTAGGTAATGGAGACTTTCCGAATTGGTGAACTACATCCGTGATGCCTTCCTAGCCATGAGTGAATTAGCCCACATATGTACAACTGCTCGGAAAGGTTAAAAAGTGGCATGCATGTGCTTACTGATTCTAAGCGTACGACTGTCATATGAGTGTTCAAGTATGTTACTCACTGCATTAATACCCGATAGTTGCTGAAACAACTGAACCAAGCACGCAATCAGCACGGGCATACGGAGATCGTTCTGTGTAAACAGCTGTATAAACTGGAATTTGGGCTGGCTTCTAGCCAATTCCACTTCTTCCCGTAGCTCCGCAATAAATCGGTCCACGTTCTCCTCAGAACTGAGACGATGAAAAGCCTTGCGTGCCTCAAGCTCGTCACTTCTCTTTATAAACAGGAAACGTGGACTTTCTGGACAGAATGGTAAAACGAGGAGAGAGATTGTCGCCGGCACAACACATAAACCGCAAGCGATTGGCCACAGTTCATTGGTGTTCAGTGTGATAGTCAGGGAGGCTACGTAAGCGATCACGATGCCCATGGTGATGCCTAGCTGGTTGCATGCTCCGATTGCTCCACGAAGTTCGCGAGGTGCAATCTCGATTAGGTACATTGGAGCGACACCCGTCGTGATGCCACAATTGAGACCCAAAAAGAAGCGACCAACAAATAGCAAGGCGGCTTGATTTGCGTACACGCATGGGACACACAAGACACCACCCAAAATGGCAAAGGCATGGTTGAATAGGAGTCCGTTTCGCCTACAATAAAAAACAAAATGAGGGACGGAAATATTCGAAAGAATTGATCAGATGTTGGGAGAAGACAAAAAACTACACCAGTCGTCAAAAGTCGTAGCTCACCTCACACTGCTTCTAGCAGCAGTTAGTAAGTCAGGGATACGCAAGCCGTGGGTGTATACTGGTACCATGAAAATGAAAAACGAAGTTCTAATGGATCTCCACAAATCGGAAGTAAAAGTTGCGAAGTGGTACGCCTCACCAGAAATTCAGAGTCAGTCCCAACGGCAGATTTGAATTCGCAAGTGTTTATGCTACCTCATTATAACCTGAGTGAAATGGTCGTCGTTGTACCTAAATCGATCCGACAACCACTGAGTAAAATGTCGGTGGAAAACGGGGACTAGGATGTTTTCGTTACTAGTGCCAGTCGGCCTTCACTCAAAATCCTTTGAACAAGACACCAATTGACAGTGTAGGTTGCTGGTCCATCTAGCATCGAGTAATACACATACACTCGGTAATTCCAGAGGTGAACATGTGTAAGCCAGCTGCTTAGTGGCGTTGTCTTCAGCCATGCCTGTCATGGCAACTGGGAGCCGTCAATAAGCTCTCCCGATTACAGAAAGAGCAAAAATGGCTTCTGCCACACAAACCACCGCTTCATCCACACATCAAATATTTCATGCAACCAGAAGTAATATAAAAGGTGACAAACAGTTGGAGGCCAAAACTGATTTGGAACCGATCCACACACCTTTAACATGCAAGTCAGCGAAGTAAAATTGGAGAAACAAATGCACAGGGCGGTGGCTACGCCGTAGCTCCGTCTATGAGGGCGTATATTTTGGTCTGATATTGTACCAAAGGCAGAGCATTCTTCATCCAACACGAGGTTTATTAATCTCCTGAAGTCGGTGATACAGATCGTTGCAATTGGATACGTTACCAGCATGAATATCAAGCGTAACCAGATCGAACATTCAGTGTTAGAATAAACACTTACCATTCGTCGGTCATTCAAGTATGGCCGATTGAAGGGAAAGAGCACGATTTAGGTCCAGCAACTGCAATGTATCGGTTAAGTAACTTTGGCTGCACAAAACCTATTAGTGTGTGACCATTTCAACATTGCCCAATAAAAGCATCCTAAGAAGAACGGAAGGCCGTTTCGTTGCATATTGGAAGTGAGGCCAAGCAACCACAAGCTGTGCCACATGGTTGGAATGAGGTTCCAATCCAGCTCAACCGTGCCGAACAATATATTGTGGGATACATTGATAGAATAAAAGAGAACGAAAGTTACGCGGTTCATCAGGTTAGTGCGCGTAACAAGATATTGTCAAGACTCACGCACGTGCCTCAGAGGTAACGGCCATTTTTAGTGGACACATCAATTGTGGGTGATTGCATTGTGGTCAGTTTCAGCCGGAAACAACTTCGCTTTGCGACTAATTCGGATATTGTGGTAAATAAAGGAACGTTTTAGTTCTCGACGGTGCTAGAGACAGCTCCCACATAGGGACAGGTCAACTGCATTAGTATCGGAAAGCTATGCTGTTAAAAGGGAGTTCAGCCTGAGTATAGTTGATTAACTTGACAACTATTGTCAACGCGTCAGGAAACAATACCGAAAACGGCTTCTATACAATAGTTCATTACTTATCATCATCTCACTATTGTCATAATGTTATCAACCATACGGTGTCGTATTCGGAACCTCTACAGTGGTTCCAACGCTTTGCCACAGAGGACTTACTGAAAGAACACAACGCAATGTGCCAGCATCTGCTAACACTCCTCGAAAATTGCAGGATAAAAGGACGCGCGTGGATGTGCAATAGAATCCGTTCGACTGAGTCGTCGCCTCGTGCGCGTGTGTTTGCTTGGCTCCAGCCTTCTAAGTGCATTGTCAGGGATTCAGTAAATAATACCCACTATATATATGGTAGGCGGTATCCAGTTTCGGATTTGCCAGTCACTGGGGCCTCCACGGGGACAGCCACAGGATGCCTGCGCCTACAGAGGGACCATCGGTAGCTTGCGCTGCACCACCCACAGCTCCATCCACCCACACCCCATATCCGGTGTAAACCCGAAGGAATAAGACCGGGAGGCATGTGGATGGGAGTCACATTTTCCCAACGGATCCGGCCCACATCCTTCCAAGGCAAACACAAGCACGCTGTAGTTGGGGAATCAAGCGTACCTAAGGCGGTGGCTGGACCGTAGTCCGGTCCACACTGAGTGTATGGAAGCACTCTTCGACCCTAGCACAGGAACGAGGACCGTGCACACCGTCCCCTCCAGCAACAATCAACTGTCTCCTAGAGCCACTATGGACGAGGTGGTGAATAATAAACAGATTGGCACCTTGTCAACATGCACATCAAGCGCAGCCACACCGGGGATGTCAAGCAACAGTCAATCATTTAAAACGACGATATCAAATAAAATAAATCAAATAATGCATACAGATATGGTGATATAAATCTTCACCAAATGGGCATATGAAATAAAATGCTTTCAAAAAATCCGCGTAAGGTTCAATACGTCAGAAAATATGTTTTAAGAGAAAAGCCACAACCGCAAAAATGCTATCGAAATTAACTACAATTAGCTTAAGCGACGTGTGCAAGTTTATAGAAGATAGTTCAGGCAGACATTATTATGAGATAAAAAGCATTACGTCAATGTAGCAAACACACCACCTGAAATAAAAAGACTCAGCATGCAAGCACACGGTTAGTAAATCGAAGGCAGCGTACCTAAAATCGCTGCGCAGGTTCTGCCTACGTTCTCTGCAGGATCCGTCGTCGCTCCGGTGTTGGTACCGTGTGACCTCGCTCATAGCTCACTAGGCCTGCCTGACTTAGGCAATCGCGACCGTATGCGCTACAGCACCATGCGTTCGATGTCAGAGTATAACCCATAGGTGTCTGGCGCTTCCGCAATTACCGCTTCTTCTCTGCATACACGAGGGCTTTCTTTTGCACCTCGGCAAGTGCTTTCGTGATCAGATCGAGCCATGCACGCCGATCAACCGCCTTCGATTCCCATGATCTGCAATCAAGATTAGAACGTGTGAGGCTCACTTTGATCATGTCCAGGTAACGGACCTTTGGTTTCCCCATATGTCGCTTCCCCAAAGTCATTTTGCCATATAATAGCTGCTTCGGTATTAGCATCCAATCCATATACCCCACATGATCGAGCCACCACAAGTGTTTCAGCAAAAGTACGCAGTCGATTGCATTCATTTCACCTCGGCGCAACAGTTCTGTGTCTGCAACTCTGTCGCACCAACCGATGCGCAGAATCCATAGCAGACACACTTGATGGAAACGCTCGCGATACCGCACATCCCGCCAGTACATCGGCCACGTTTCACTGCCGTATAGAAGAACGGACAGCACCATGAATTTGCACATCATCAGCTTCGTACCAACGGTAAGCTGATGGTTGTTCCACACTCGGCACACCAGCTTCCCGATTGCCGCCGCTGCCTTAGAGACGCGAAAACGAAGGTCACTGTGTAGCTGCTTGTCAGTCGAAACCACACTCCCAAGGTAGCAGAAGCGGGAGGTGGTTTCCAATACCTCATCACCAATGCTGATTTGTGGCAATATAGGAGATTGCAGCTCCGGTGAAGGCTGAAAGAGACAAACAGTTTTGATTGTGTTCATGGTGAGCCCGAATTTGGCCAGAGCACTAGTCATGTAGTGAAATTCATCCGCGCTATGCGCAAACACCGCAAAGTGATCAGCAAACAGCAACGTACGGATAGTTTTCTCACAGGCTAGTTCTCGCACCGAAACGACGGATGTTCGGCAACCCACCCTCAATACGGTGCTCCACACGAACACCGTAAGCACAAGCGGCATCAAAAGCACAAGACATCATGGCATTAAAATATATATTAAACAGGGCAGGAGCTAAGACACAGCCTTGCTTCACATCAGAGATAACTGCAAAATCATCCGAGATCTGTCCAATCAGCTGCAACCTCGCCCGCATACCACTGTGCAGATATACAGTTAAACTTAGGAACTTACCCAGCACCAGCCACCATGTCTCATGGTTCACCGTAACAAATGTCTTGGTGAAATCAACGAAAAGCGAATTCTCTACACTTCTGCAACTGTTGAGCCGCAAATACCATGTCGATGGTGCTGCGACCCGAATGGAATCCATATTGCTCTTCCGGCACGTTAGGTTCCACAACCTGACCGACGAGGCGATTGAGCATTATTCGGGAAATCACCTTGCCCTGACAAAGTAAGTTGATACCACGACAATTGGTGCAACACCGTTTGCTCCCTTTGCCCTTGTACAGCGGCAGCACAAGGGCATTCTCCAGTTCAGAAGGCACTTTCTCCTCAACCCGCACGCGTTGCACCAAGTGGAGCAGCACAGTCACCAACTCATGTCCGCTGTGTTTCAATACTTCAGGCGGGATGCCGTTGGTACCGGCACACTTGCCGTTTCGCAACTGAGCAACTGCTCTGTGCGTCTCATCCAGTGTCGGCGAGTCTGCCAGACTCGCCTTCACACCGTGCTGCTTCAGGCGGTATTAAAGTAGGCCAGTCAATCTCTGTATGGTTGTTCAAGGCACAGTCAATGTAGGTGCGCCAGATCCGGATTATGTCTGCAGTCTGTGTACTTAGCCATAGTTTCCAACGTTTCTAACCACGGGCAGTCCGAATCGCGTGGTCCCAATCCTGGAAGGTGGATCGGTCCGACGGATGCGAAGTCTGTGATCGCAATCTTCATGCTCCTTCTCCACGTCATTGGTTGTCCACCGCCACACTTTATCCAGTCGTTTCCGGGGAGGGCAATTAACGCTGGCCAGGGAAGGCGATAGGCTGGCATACGTAATACGTGGCCGATCCAAAGCATACGGTGTCGGAGATTAACCGTTTGGAGGCTAATGAAATTCCATCCAGTCAAGCAGAGGTGAATTAGAACACTGGCGTTTTGTATGCATGAACCATGGAACGCAGTAGATAGTAGTTGACTGG